TATTTGTTTGTTGATACTTTCTACCTTCTCGAACGAAATATTATCATTAATAAATTCTTTAAAGAAGGACTTGTGGAGTGAGGAAATAATTTGTTGTTTCTTTTCAACTTTTTGTAAAATATGTTTAATTTCTAGCAATCCTTTGCCACTGTCAAGAATTGTCTCAATTTCTTTAGTTCTCTCTACAATAGTAAATCTTTGTAACAGAGAGGGTTGATTTTTCTTTGCCTGAATAAATTTGTTAGATAAATGAAAATACTTTAAATACGTACTTTTTCTAAAATTGCAAGTGATTTTTGTTGTCCTGTTTCAAAAAAGTTACCACAAATAATGGAGGCTGCAATTAATAAATCAACATTTTGGTAAGTTTTTTGATTGGCAACACCCTTAATAAAACATTTGGAAAGTTCCAAATCACTGAGATTACCCAAAGTAGAGGTAGATCCTTTCTTCATACACCATTTTAAGAAGAGGAATAGTCTTCTTGAGCGATTGGTTTCTTCAATTTCTTGTAAGATTTTGATAGACTCCTTTTCTAGAATGTATTTAGGATTCATAATGTCATCATTACTCAAATTGTCTAATCCACGTTCCAAGTGATTCATAAATATTCCTCTCAGATCCTTATTAATGTATCTAGTCCATAAATCCATGCACAACCAACCAATGAAGGAAAATATTATCATTACACCAATAGTCATGCCTAACAGTCCTAAACCAAGACCATACTCATTTTGAGTATTCACATATGTGGAAACAACACCACACAAAGAACCTCCAAGAGTGGCACAAACAAAACCAAAGTAAACAGCATTCTCCCATCTTCTATAAAAAGGCATTGAAAATAAAAAGAAAATAGTGATGCAAAAGCTAGCTACCACAAAGTAAACTGCTTGAATTACCACAAATTGATCTCCTACAACATTAATCAACAAATAGTAAATTTGATAGCTTAGAACGCTTAAAAAATAGAGATGAGCATCAAATGTTAAGAAGGGAGTTTCACTCCTTGGATTTGCATCTGTTGTTGTGTAAAAACCAACAAAGGTTGTGAAAATTGTGAGCACATATGACAAAAGACCAATTATAATGAAAGCCAAATTGGTGCCCGAATAACAGGCCACGTCAGGAAATCTATTCAAAACTTGTTCAGCTGTTGTTGAAGAAGTGACCAGCACTGCTGACGAATAATTACAATTCAAAAACCCCAACATGAGCCAACTGATTGGCAAACTTGTTAAAGAGATTGTTACATTCAATATTCTAGTAATGACTTTGATTTTGGGCCAATACTTGCTCATTCTGTAGATAGATCTGTAGGCAATTATTAAAATAATGACTTGAAGTAGCTGTATGGCAAATATAATACCTGCAATAATGACCGCTGCAGTGTAAGGTAAATGTTCAAAACCAAATGTTAGAGGATAATTAACAGCTCTTGCTATCCACCTTCCATACTCGCCAAAGTTATAACTAGGTTGAATGGCAATCACTAATGTTGCCCATATGAAATATAGTCTGATGAGTAGAGTTTTGATATATTCATTTCTTCCAACTAATTCTTGTCTGGTTTGTAAATTAAGAAGGAACATGAAGGATCTCTCCTCTAACTGAGTAACAATAGACTCATTATAGTAATCTTCCAGTGATGATGTGGTACTACCCACTTGTGAAGCATTCACAACACTACCTGCTGCATTGGCATCATTAGGTTGTCTTGTTGAAGTAATATAACTTCGCTTATCTATTGAGGCAACATTGGTAGAAAAGTTATAATCTAGCACACTTCCGGATTCACCATCTGAACCAATAATACTTCCTCTCCTACTCATATTTACAGTTGGTTGTATATTCCTAGAAAATAAATTATATTATATGATTATTTTGATGATAGCAGTTTAATAGTAGATACTAGATATTAAGGAACCTTAGTTATAAATCCAACACTCTCCTATCACACAATACACAAAGGTGAGTTTTAACTGATACAGAAAAGAGAGCAAATAAACAACAGTTCTTTTGTTTTTGAGAAACGGCTCAATAAAGAGAGGGTGGCGCTTTTTTTTCTGTAAATTTTTCTGTTAAGTTCAAACTGATAAGGTAAGGATATTGATTCTTAAGGGAATCACTTTCCCAAAAACTGCTGGAACAACCAAGGGACAAAAGATGTCAATGTAAGTACATGCGTTTCCCATAGAGGTCAATATATTGTTGTGAAATGTAAAATTATAACGTGCAAGGTTCAAGCAGTAGCATAGGAGATGATTCTTTTGGATAATTATGTGGTGATTACTGGGAAGTGGTGTGTTGTTAACACAAAAAATGTTTAAAACGAGCTGTTTGGCTGAATGTTCCAAGGGTATTTCGGTAATTATTTGTGCTCAACGTTATTACTATTTCCATTAATGTTTTCCTCATTACTGCAACAGTTGGTTTGTTCCGTT